TGTACGCACGTAGGAAGTTATATAACGTAACAAAACAAAAAACTTGAGAGACAATTACCCACTGAAGTTGACACTTTTAGGTATCAGTGTGCGCGCGCATCGTCACAACTTCATGGTGCCGTTTTTAGGTGTCAGTGTGCGCGTGCATCGTAAAAATTCACTCTCATTATTTTTCCCAAACGCCCCAAAAGAAGTATAACTTCAATAAAATAACTAATCTGTTATTACAAAACACTGGTAACTTTTTTTTTATAGGATAGGGTGAAAAACGAGCACACAATCCACCTGATGGTAAGTAGTTACTATGATCCAGAGACATCTACATCTATCCTCAATAAAGACTCAAGATGCAGATGCGTTGTCATCCGTGAGGACTAAGATGTAATGCCACTTTGCCAGTAAATAGGGTCTCCGGTTCTCTACACTCACCATACGAAACACAGCAGCGTTAAGCTGCTATTTTATGCTGGTTTTCTGTGAGAGCGTGGTCCTTCCCCGGTCGAGCCGACCCATTCGTGCTACAACTATACTACTAATATAGCTGCAGCATGGCTCTACCACGTAAAACTACTACGTAAGTGTTAACCCGAAATATTAATTAAATCAACACAGTGTCTAATCAACGTGAACTGTTGAAGCACTGTCGTTGATTAAAGCTTTCACTGCGGTTAATATAAAGTCACTTGAAACAACTACAAAGTTCAGTTTATTTCCCAACACAAACATATTTTATTGTTTTCGTTCTATACCGCAATGAAAAACTTAAATTGTTTTTCGTGACGGAATTCGCTTTAAGATTCCTTCCAAGTATTTTAACTTTCTTATGTTTTGAGTTAAAATGTTACTGAAGTAAATCTATTTTATTATTATGAAATTATTAAGTAATTCTAAACAGGCCTGGTATTGTATTTTGAGGCAACCCTTGTTGAGCTTCAGGGTTATTTTTCAAAAAGTAGCCAAATTTTAAACTTAAGTTCAAATATTTATATATTATAAGGATATACCGTTAATGCAGTTTTTGAAAATATGAATAAACAATTATTTCAAATTGAATGTGATTTATGGGCAACAACGTTTGTTCAGCTGTTTCTGAGAAATAGATACATACATAAAAATATACGCATCGAATATCATACTTGTTGTTTTTTTTTAAATTTGGATAGTAATTAAATGTAAAGAAAATTAAAACATTTCAAACACGTCCTACTATAGGACAGTTTTTGGATTGTTGTGGCAATGGGACAGACACCATATGCCGCGGCCGTCGTAAGAGGTGAAGACAAAAGAGTTCCACACTCATACCTAGACCTACTGTCATTAATATACAACAAGCTTTTATACCTTTTTTAGTATATGCCTACTCTTCATATTTTATGCAGATTCATTACGTTGTTACATCTGGTACTGTGTTCGCCAAAACATCTGCACATCTGCCAAGCGTGAAGATTATGTCAAATCCTTTTATTAACATACTACTTACATGCTTTCCGTATAGAATATTTCCGTAAAAAAAAAAAAATTAATAAAATAAACAGGTTTGAACCCTGTGTCACTATCGTAAGTTTTCAAGAACAGAGCGACTTTACATCATTTCATTTGTAATGCGTGCAATTATAGAAAATTAATTTTTTTAAAAGAATTGGGGTGACAATTGAGCACACAGTGATGGTAAGTGGTTGCTGTGACCCATAGTCATCTACATCTATCTTCGTTTGCGAATTGTAATGCAGATGCGATATCAGCCGTAAGGACTGAGATAGAATGCCTCTGTTCCAGTAAAATAGGTCTCCGGTTCTCTACACTCACCATACGAAACACAGCAGTGTCAAGCTGCCATTTTACTACTCTACTGGTATTCTGTGAGAGCGTGGTCCTTCCCCGGTCGAGCCGACCCATTCTTGCTACAACTATACTACTAATATAGCTGCAGCATGGCTGTACCACGTAAAACGTCATATTGATAAAAGTTTAATAATATTTTTAATAAAAAGTTTTATTGTTATATATATATATATATATATATATATATATATATATATATATATATATATATATATATATATTTATATTAATATTATTAAACTTTCAAACATTGTCATAGTTGTTTAATTCTTTTTTAGAGATTTCTTCATACGTCATGAGTTTTTCAGTGTTTTGTTCAATGGCATCGACTTAAACATCTCATTATTTTTTTTATTTAAGCTATTACAATCAAGTTTTTTACTAGTATCTCACATTGATAAGTGATGATGTAGCCGAAATAGTAAAGTGTACTTCAGTAAAAAAAAATTCCCGCACATTTACAATTTTTAAGGACGTATATAATCATGAAATTTGACAAAAAGCAAGATCTCATAGCATAACTAAAGGAAATATCGGAAAATTGTTTGTAGTTATTACATACAAAAGCAAATATTCTCGATCACAAGCAGTTGCAGCAGTTGCAGTATTTGCAGTTGGAGCATCGACCGTGATAAAGAGTATGGAAGACTTTTTTGTACTGCAAACATAGGTTAATCCTCCGATCCGACTTATATTTTCTTTAGAACAATGTTCGATGCTTATCTAATCTACGATTCCTGGGGTGGATGAACTATCTATTTTGTATATAATTAAGTTTATACGGAACCTTAACGGCACGAGTCCTACTCGCACTCATCAAGTTTTTAAAAGATGTCTGCATGATTGAGTTTTGTGAATTAGTCAACTTTTCATCTCATATATCTCAAGAGCGAACGATGTAATAGTTCCAAAACCAATTTCTTTCGACGCTTACTTCATAACAATAATAAACCTGATTAATATGTTTCCCTAAAAGTTTGTTTACAAGTGGTAAAATTAAAAATTTTGTACAACCTACTTCAATATAAATTATTAAGGATAACTCAAAAACTTCTGTTCAGACCTTGATCAAATTTATGTGACACCACAGGAAAAGCACCAGCTTTCAAATAAAAATAGAACCATCGAAATCAGTTCACCTAGACAAAGTTATGACATAACACACATTTAAAAAACATACAGTCGAATTGAATACCTCCTGCTTTTTGAAGTCAGTTAATAAAGAAAATAAAGTTAATATTCTTTACCAAATAAAATCTGGTAGGAAGGGCAGGCTGAACCTTTAATTTTTTATTATCTTAAGCAAAATTATTTACTATGTTCATGTTCCTACTGCAACTATTCGAATAAATTAAAAATTAAACTTGAAACTTTCCTTCTTTGTTCCTGTGTAATTTGCTGAAAGACTTTTTTTTATTTAATGCTTAGACTGGAAGCCATAGTCCGTAAGAGCCAATTGAGCTACATTTTCTGAGGCTTATTACGTTATTCGTTCGCTAGTCTTAACTATCGCTGGCAGTAACACAAATGAAGGGGTTACAACTCTATTAACAAATGCATTTTCTTTGCATTCTTATGTTTAATCTCAGTATTTTTATATTTCAAGCTTATTAATAACAGAATGATTTTTTTTATCAAATGTGTGTCAATAAGGTATTAGCGTATAATAGGGCTGACATATTCGTTCGAAATAATAGCCACTAAATAAATAAAGAGAAAAAAAAACAACAGGATGAGGTTTGACAGTGTATGATGCAAGCAGCTCAGGATCGTGATTGGTGGAAATAAATTTAGCTTCCCAATTACCAAAAACAGTTTATAAGCCGTGGTTACTCCGGAGCCCAGTGCTCACTCTAAACATCACAGTACGCGATTGCTAGCCGGGTTCAATCTCAATCCAATAAAATTACTATATAATTTAGGAGCGTTTACCTATTTCATCTAACGGAAACATCTAAACATTGCAATGCAAAAAAATTCTTACACTGACACTAGACGGTGAAAGAGATTTTTTTAAATATCCACTACTTAATATTGTACCGTGGGTGTCGTAAGAGGTGACAGAGGGAAACTGAAACAGCAGCAACATAATAAAGAAACACGCTTTCCAAGCGTGACAACTATGGCAAAATTCCCTCTATAGGGGAAGTCTATCTTCAGCACTTGGCTTTTATAGCCTATTATGGAAGGATTCAAAACACTCTTATAAAGCGGAGATTAAAAATTTTACAAGAATAAAGCTTGAAACTTAGACATGAAAATTTTGTTCAAAAATGTAACTTTTAATTAGACGTATAAACCGACACTATTAAGTTGAAATTATTTTATCCTTCTTAGTTTTTGAAGTCGGTATTTACTTTTTATTAACACTTTAATTATTTTTACCATTTTGAGTGGACTAAGGAATAATATGAGTTCAAGAATGTCTTCGAAATAGTTAACAATTACAAACTATAAGTTTTTATATATATTTAATACAAACCTCAACAGTTTTGGTCATGTCACTTATCATCACACAAAGTTTTACCTATAATATACAGTAAAGTATATTTAACTCACATCCTATATTATATTTCCAATAGCTAGGCACATGCCTTTTCTAATTTCAGAGAGTTTTCACACTTCGTGTCAATCCATTTAGTGGGAATTGGGGGGAATTTAACATAATATCAACCTAAATATTTTTAAAAAGCCCATTATCCATCAAGATAATTCATAGGATGTCTTTTAACTATATTTTTTTAATCAGGAAATGTACAAAATTCTTATTTTATTTGGTTTATTGTGTTGTGTATTACTTGACCTACGTGGGGAATAATAGATACATTTTTTTAAGGTTGCATGACAGTTGCTGTTGAGGGTGATAAACGTGCACACAATCCAATTTACAGTTTGAATATGTAGTCCATAGATACTTACTTCTATCCTCGCTTAAAAATCAAGATGCTAATGTGTTGTCTAGGGATGACATGAGGGATGAGGTATAAGATGGAATGCATTGTTGCTAGTAACAAGGTTCTCCGGGAATCATGACCTCGCTTCTAGTAAAAAGGGTTCCAAGTTCTCTACACTCACTGTACGAATAACAGTAGAATTAAGCTGCTATTTTATGTTGGTATTATGTGAGAGCGTGGTCCTTCCCCGGTCGATCAACGCATTTATGTTTCATCCATAATATACGTGGACGTGGCTCTGACCACCAAGAATTCAGTAGAATAACACCTCTTATTTTTCAATATAAAAAGTGCTAAAGTTGTTAAATGATTACTCTGCTATTTTACTTTTAAATTTTAATTAAAAAACACAAGAGTTAAGTCAACTTTTGAAGCTTTTGAAAGTTGAAAGCTTTTACTGCGGCTAGTAGAACGTAGTGATTATTCACTCTATGGAGGCCAGCACATAGTTACTCTAAACAACTGCAAAGTTCAGTTCATGCCTGAAGCAAAATATTTTGTTGTTCTTTTTATTTTACTATAAAAAAGACAACTTTAATCAGAAAGTTATTGAAAAAAATAATTTTGGAATCTATACATATAAATTTTCTTTAATTACATATTCTATCTACATCTTGGTAATGATATATTAGGGTTGACATATGTGTTTATGACAAAGGTCTCTAAATAAAGAAATTAGCTTTCTTATATTCAAAGACTATTAATTTAAATACATGCAGCAGTTGGATTGTTTCCTTCCTATACGAGGCTTCAATATATTTTTTTTTACAGAACAGAAGGCAAACAAACATACAGCATAATGGTAAGTGACGCCATCTTTAGCTACAAGATCATAGAAATAGCATAAGCATTTGCCGTTCTTTGAGTAAGAAATCAAAAGAGTCCTCGAAGGTTCCATAAGTCAAATTGGTCCGAAAACTTCGCCAGTGATAGGTAGGATTAGGGTGACAAACAGGGGCACAGTCCACCTAATGTTAAGTAGTTGCTGTGGCCCATAGTCATCTACATCTATCCTCACCTACGAATTAAAATGCAGATGCGTTGTCACCCGTGATGAATAAGGTCTCCGGTTCTCTACACTCACCATACGAAACACAGCAGCGTGAAACAGCTATTTTACGGTAATATTCTGTGAGGGCGTGGTCCTTTTCCCAGTCGTGCCGACCAATTTGTTTTACAACTTTGCTACTGATATAGCTGCAGCATGGCTCTACAACTTAAAAAAGAAGTAAGTAAGAAAATTTCTGGAAAATCGCACGGTGTTGAACCGTCAAGCATCCATTTGGCGCGGAATATATTAAGATCTTTTTCACCAACGTATGACGCTGAACATGACGACTGAAATTAATCCTTACAATTTCTCGGAGCACTTCCCGTGGTAAATGCGATAAAAATGCAATGAGATGCAACGTCTCTTTTTATACGTATCTTGATATTATATAGTTTTCTATTAAAGCCCTCAAAATTAACCCTTAAGTGTTTGAAAATTCAAATTTTGAATTTTACAAAATGGCAACAATCACGATTTGTCTAAGCTGAATATCATGCGAGTGATGTCGCCGTTAATTTTACTTTTATATTTATTTTCTGGTTGCTTTGAAAAATTCATACAGTATTTTTTAATTAACTACTTGTTACTGTTGGACTTGTAACCCATTTCAATGCGATAAAATATTTTTAAAGTTGTGGCGTTATTTATTTAAGAACTCTTTAATTTAAGTTAGTGAGCTATTTGAGCTAAATTTAAAATGGCTAATTGCATTATTCTTTCACTTCACAATTTTCTAGGTAACAAAATGGTTGTCGCATTAAAATTAAATTTATAATAGTGAATATATGATGAATTTGTATTTGCTGATGATATTTTGTTGATTTCTGAACTGAAAGACATTTTTTTAAATATGATAATAATGCTATAAAAATAAGTTCATTGCTTTGTCGTCAACAGTAGCCAAATGTGAAAGTTGGTATCAAATTTAAAATAAATGATTAAATAGCTAAATACCAATGAGCTTTAAAATAGCTAAGATCAGAGCCTTGTTAAATACATTTTGTGGTAACTCTTGATCTAAGAATTAGTGGGGGCTTCAATACCTAAACTGGTACGTGGACTAAGTTCTGAAGCATATGATGTACAAAATTGAAATGGCTAGATTAGTTTATTTTCTTATTTCTATACCATAATGTCATATGGAGATTTCCTACGGGGGTACGTGACTATGTCAAAAACTGTTTTTGTTTTAATAGAAAACAAAAGAAGTTTTAATAGAAAATTCTGTGAACACAAGAAACAAACGGTCTAATAAGTCACTCACGTTGCATGTCTTGCACGCACAAAAATAATAAAAATACTCCAGGCACTATCTCTTCGCTGTGGGCGAGATATTATAATATTTATTTTAACTGCGACACTAAACCAGTATTATTTAATGAACCACGATAGACGGAGAGTCAAACTTATAAATGAACTTTCTAAAAACCCATAAACTTGACAGGAAATTTATGACTATAATTATATAAATTGCTCTTTATTTCATTAAAACTAACGCATAAAAACTTTTAGATCCAGATAGAAAAATGTGTGTGCAAGTGCAGTTTGCACTGAAAATCATAAGAAATAACTTCAACCGTGACAATCTAGCCCAAGGATGTGAAAGATAATACATATGATGTTAAATAAATTGGTGTTATCCTGACTTACAGTGGAAAGCAGCGACAGAGGTGTGAGACGTCTGGAACTGCAAGCCTGTTAAACGTGACGATAAAACCAAATATTCCCTACAACGGTAGAGGTCCATTAGACATTGGACTTTTGTGAGAAGAAGGAAAAGAAAATTAAATAATTTTCGTCAAACAATATATCAGTATGATTGATATTTCTAGATTTCTTCAAAACTTCTAACACGATACCGGGAACCATTTTAAATTTTAAACGAGCACCGAGTTTCTATTTTTATATCGAGTAGAATTCCATGTAAGAAAGTAAATGCATGCAGTGGTCCATAGATACGTACAACCATCCTCGATTAAGAATAAAAATATAGATACGTCGTCACCTCTGGAACTTAGTTTTAATGCTTCGTTTTCAGTAAAAAGCTTCTCCGGTTCTCTTCACTCACCATACGAAACAGCAGCATTAAGCTGCTATTTTATGCTTATTTTCTGTGAGAGCGTGTCGGTCGGCCTCGGCCTAGCTGGCCAATTCATGCTACTATCACAATATAGACATGGCTCTACGTATAAAACGTTATAAACTTCCTCCGATAAAGTTGTATACTGTCGGGCGCTAGTCAACATATTCGAATTCATTATGGCTTTATATGCACGGTCTTGATCTTCAATATTAGAATTATTATATATGTTATTAGGAATTCTTCTGTCAAGCTAATAAAAGATTAGTTTCTTTACATATTGAAGTGTTGTAACAAATTTATGTTTTTATTTATGTTTACACCTTAACAAAAGGGCTGCAAAGGGATACAAGGGGGACTTAAAGCCTTTGGGCATTTTCTCCCAGTCAAACTTAAGCGTGGTGAGACAATGTGATAGTTACATTTTGTGTGAATATTTTTTTTTGCAACAAATCTCAATGATTTCTTATAATTACGCGAACAGTACACATTAAATGAAACTAATTTTACGGATTCTATCGCATTTAATACAACTTTTTAATTCCCGACGTTTCGAGTGCTTTACAGCATCCATGGTCACGGAGGGGACTCTCCGTTAGGAGTAAAAGTATTCTGTGGGAAGATTGAGGTTTTTGACGTCCCAATGTCATAGTTAGCCCGGCTGCCTTTAGTTTTTGAATATAAATTTTTTGGTTTCGATCTACGCAGAATGAACTTACAGTATCTTGAAATCTTGTTGACCGAGTGAAGCCGCACGGTCGAGCATGTGCCTGCTGTACTACGTCAGAGGAGTCACTTAAAGCCTACTACAAGCCGCCGAAGAAGATTAGTCAATTTTTACCATCGTTCAAGTGCCATATCGCTCTACAAGATACAGGTGTGTACAACCTGGATTGTGAATGCGGTCTCTCTTACATAGGACAAAAAAAAAGATATGTAAAAACCCACATCAAAAGAACATATCGCTGACTTGAAGCACCGACGTTTTGGGAAGTGACAATGTGACCGTGGGTGCTATAAAGCATCCGAAACGTCGGGAATTAAAAAGTTAACGCGATAGAATCCGTAAAAATTAGTTTCATTTAATGCAACAAATCTTTTTTGCAAGTTAAAGCAGTAAACAGTTTGAAGTAAATACGTTTGGTTTTGTCCCCAGGCACAATAAAAGCAAACGCTGCACAAGTAATAAATCTTGGCTGCACGTAAACATACTGTATCCAATCACACTTGTTGCATGTAGTACAAGTCATTGTACTAAGTACGTTGTGTACGGTTTACATGTCAAACTAAGCTTCAACTAAGCTTTTTAATCAATTAAATAAAATTAATTTTATGGACTTTACCGTGTAACTAACTCCTGAAGTTTTAAGTGTTTTATGGCACCCATTTTCATTAGGAACTGAGATATAAACATCCCGATGTCATAGTCAAAATCCACGCATATAAAAGCATTTTTATGATTTTATATGAAATGTAATAAGCATGTTTCAGTTGTGATGTAAAATCCTTAAAATAAGGTTTATTAAATGTGTATTAATGCGTGAATACAAATCATTATATTCTTCATTATAGGCTTCTAAAAGTCCACTACTGGACTTTAGTCTTTCCTGTTGTGAAAAGGATTTGTCTCTATCGCCACGCTCTGCGAGCGGTATAGCGATCGTTGTATCGGACGCCTCACAACTTAAATACCGAACAGGCGTAAACAAAATGGTTATTTTAATCTTTCTAGAATTTCCCAAACACCCATAGGACGAAATGCGGTGATGGATTATCATAGGCCGCCATCAAAGCCATTTGCTATTATTACACCGTTACAGCCTATTAAAGTCCACTGGTAAACATAGGCCTTCCCCGTAAATTGCCTTATAGCGGGGATATTTGCTATAGTTGCCACTTCTAGAAATGTTGCATCCCTTTGCATTTTCTTTAGCAAATACCACGGGGAGTGTTCTGAATAATTGTTCGGATTAATCCCAGCCGCCAAATTTCACGAACGCACATCGCGGCAAAGCTCCCAATACCATCCACACCATCTGGATACTTGGCGGTCCACCACTGTATGTTTAACTAGGAGTTTTGCTTCCTCGTACAACCTCTCTATAGAATAGTTTACCACCGGCGATTTTTCCGAACCGATACGACTTAGGTACCTTCAATAAAAGACCTTACTCCTTTCTAAAAAGTCGGCAACGCACCTGCAATACCCCTGGTATTGCAATTGTTCATTGACGGCGGTAGTCACTTACCATCAGGTGAGCCGTATGCTTGTTAGCCCTCTCCTAAAAAAAAACGCTTGGCAAGCGAGTTGGCAATCGCAGTTTTTTTATTTTTAGTCGTTCTTATTTGTGTTCTTTCGCCTCTTATGACAGGCGCTGTAAGATATAGGGTAGTGGATATTTTTACACCGGCACCAAACGGTAAGCTATTATTATTACTGGTATTTAATCGATCGGAATGTAATAGGAATGTACTAACATGTCTTCCAAATGCCAACTTCTACTGCACTCTGATAATTCACAAATTGGCCAACGCAACTAAATGGAAAATGGCAGTAGTGCATCTGTGCATGCATTTGAGAATACCAATATACCCGAATGCTATGTGCTGTTTTTTAAATAGAATAGGGGGACAAACGAGCACACAGTTCACTTGATGGTAAGTAGATGCCGTGGCCCTTAGACATCTACATTTATCCTCAATTAAGAATCAGAATGCAGATGCGTTCTCACCCCTAAGAACTAAGATGGAATGCCTCTTTTCCAGTAAAAAGGGTTTCCAGTTCTCTACACTCACCATACGAAACACAGTAGCATGAAGCTGCTATTTTAAGCTGGTATTCGACGAGAGCGTGGTCCTTACCCGGTCGCGCCGATCCATTCGTGCTAAAACCATAATGTAGCTGCAGCGTGGCTCTACCACGTATAAAACAGCTGGTGACAGAGAGCAGCGTAATATGGCAAATCGTTTTATTGAGGTAGAGCATGGCTCTGCAGCTATATTTATGGTATAGTTGTTGCACGAATGGGTCGGCTCGACCGGGGACCACGCTCTCACAGAATACCAGAGTAAAATAGCAGCTTAATGGTGCTATGTTTCGTGTGGTGAGTGTAAAGAACCGGAGACCTTTTTATTGGAAACGAGGGATTCCATCTTAGTCCTCACGGCTGACAACATATCTGCATTCTTATTCGCAAACGAGGATACATGTAGATGTATATGGGCAACAGCAACCACTTACCATCAGGTGGACTGTATGCTCTCTTATCACCCTTATTTTATAAAAAAACTCTTCTAAGGTTCCATGCTTCTACATAACTATATTTTATAGGGTATAGAAAAAAGAGAAAATCAGTCTGCTAATTTTCATCTTCGACAAATTAAAAAAGTTGTTAGAGCCCAAACTTTTTAATTGTTCTGAACGTTTATATCGGGCTATTAAACTGCTAAGTTACAAGTTTTTACGGTTTTTATTTCGTAGTTACAAAATTCTTAAAGATACTTCCATATAATTGTTTCTATTTAGTCATTTATTTTTAAACAGTGTAAAGACAAGCTGCAGCTAAACTATGATTGAAGTGCAAATGGATCGGCTCAACAGCGGCCACGCTCTCACAGAATACCAGCATGTATAGCATCTTAATTCGTATTTCGAATGCTGAGTGTAGATACCCGGACACCATTTCACTGGAAACGAGGTATTTCATCTTAAGCCTCAGGGGTGACAACGTACTGCATTGTTATTCTTAATTGAGGATAGATGTAGATGTATATGGGTCACAGCGTCCACTTACCATCAGGTGGATGTGAGCTCGTTTGTCACCCTTATTCGATAAAATAAATTATTATTACTATAAAGTCGCGATTCTACTACCGGTCAGAGCAGTCGCTTCGTAATGATGTGACGGCTCTAAATAGAACCTACAATATTTTCGTAGCGTAAGCATACCTACTGCGAAATGGCGTGTTAACCTAAACGCTGCGATACCGTCGTAGTCCACGAGTCCAATACGTCAACGAACTTCAAATCCTACGTACTCCAGGTTCCTGCAAAACACAAAGAGACAATTCTCGCTCCCGATTTCTGACCCTCTGGGGTAGTGTTTTGTCGATACAGGGACACGCCAAAGAAGAAAGTTCCCTAAATAGTGTCTATATTTTATATATATATTTTTACTAAAAAAATTTTTTAGGTGAAGGTATATATAATTAGGTAAATATATTACTATGGGTCAATGTTCTTAATTTTTAAGCCCTTGATGCCTGAAATAAAGTTATTGTATTTTTTATTGTATAAATGCCCCATCATATATGAAATCGAGACTTGGCCGAACTAATGGACACGAAAGATGATGAGATGAAAACAAGTAATGACATTTCTCTTATGCCGCCAGTACTAAGTAAATTAACTGTTTATTAAGAACATAAACTTATTTGGTATTTGCATTCATTAATATTTTTAATACTGATCCTTGTACAAATAGTACAACTTCTTAATAGGGATATTTTACTTGAAAATACAGTTTGAACTAAAAGCCGAAGTTACTTGGACTACATTATTGTGTTATTCTATCAACTTGGCTTTACCGCTTCAGCCTTACGACTAATCCGGATACAACGTAACCGAGTTTAAAAATATCCATCGATAATAGGATAAGACCATGTATTTACTAATTTTTTTTACAAAAGAAAACATTGTAATGCCTACGGTTTAAAACGTTTAAAGTTACATTATACTTATTGTGTATTACTGTAGCCTAAATGTTTTACTTCGAGAATGTTCTATTTTCTTTTCATATTGCGTCTGTTTTCAAACAATTTTACGATTGCGGCAAAAATATTATTTCTTATATTATGAAACATTAAAAAGAATGAACCGTGGGCTACTGCCAGAACCACGTAACGAAATTTTACTGATAATGTTATGATTAAAATTAGTTTTAGCGATATAAACTAGTTTACTAACCAGAGTTTGGTTAAACACAGAGAATGGACTGGAATGGATTTTATCGAGACTTGTAAAATGGTACAGACGTATCATTTAAAGACATAATTTAAAAAAAAATTGAATGGATTTTGATTCTTCTTCTTCACCAGCCCGTAAATGTGTTTCCCGTTGTAGGAGGGTATGCTTTAATCGTTATTCTTGGCAGGCTATTGACGATCGCCATACCAGACATCTTGGACCTTCGATGCTACCCGTCGCCGGTCTAAGTGCTTACGTGTGGTATAATGAGATACGGTTATACAGGCATCTATCAGAAACCATAACATTTTTAATGTTTCCCATAGCGGCTATGATGCTCTTACGTGACACGAGATGGAATGGCATTCAGGATCTTCTTACGTTGCCGCCTCAAGACACAGGATTTGGAATAGGTAACTTTACTTACATTTGTCAGTTGCTACAGGTTAAAAAGTGGATTCACCATATGCGGCTGATTTACATGCACGTGAGGTTGATACTTGCAGGAAAAAATTGGTATTTTCCCTCTTGCTTCTTTACATATTTTTCAAAGAAAAATTGCTAAACAAGTACGTGGCTCACCCGTTGGAAAATGAGTGCGTTACGTTTCCGGCATTTTAAGACATCGCTTTCGTGTAAGGAAGTAATTTTCTTACACAAACTTAATATTGAACGAAAACGGAACCACACAATACGGACTTCATATAATTTGGAATTATAAACATTACGTTCATAAAAAGGCAAAATTATGACCTGTGGCGCATGTTACCGGCCACATATTGTTTTATTTATAAGGCAAATCCTATTTATGGCCCCAGAATTGATACGGATATTCTTGGACATTTAATGTTTGTTTTAAATATTTTAATATCATTAATACATAAACAGAAACAATAAATTATAAATAGTAATAAAATAAATTACTTAAGACTATAATAAAAAAGCTATTCTATACATACTCTAGGTATTTCTACCAATGAAAATAATTAATATTATACCAACCAAATTATGCAACCTTATTTTTGTCACATTAAAAATATTTTAAAAGCAAGTAATCCGATAGTAACTTTAAGTGGACAAAGAGGTTACGGTTATGGCCTAAAGGTCTAGATGCCAGGCCATAAACTCCAAAAAAAAAGAGGTTACGGTTATTATTAAAAGGTGCAAGAAAATTAATTTCATAAATTAGTACCTGGTCGCCTAAGTTTAACTTGACGCTGGAAGATTTTTTTCTTTGGGACGAAACCTATCTAGATAAACTTGGAAAGTACTCAGTATACGTACAAAATTTTATCCAAGTCGTATAACTATAGAATATAATTATAAACAATAATTAGTGTCAAAAACGAGTGTCTTACAAAACGTACTCTTTAGTGCTGATTTTCAATCTCAATAGGATAAAACACAACATAAAAAAATTACATTACAATTAAATTACAGTTGTATAAAAAATAGTTCAATTGATTCACTTTTATATTTTTTAACCTGGTAATTTATTTGATAAATTATTTTTTTGATGATTGAAAAATCAGTAGCAAAAATTCAAAAAATTACGAAAACTGAAACTTGTTAAGCAAGTTAAAATTAAAATTATTCTAGAACTTACCAGAGTACTGTTGCTGTAAAGTGTGTCATATGATTCTGCCTTCGAGGTGAGGTTTCGTAGCTTGCAAGGCTTCCTCAGAGGTGGTGGAGGCTGTGCGTGTTTATGAGGCGACGCCTGCTGATTGCCTCCCGCTCCTGCAGCACCAAGGCTTACGTGGTTGGCGTTAGCCTTATTCTCTTTCTCTTTCACCAGCTTGTTATTGGTAACGAGATTGTTCTTTGTGAAGTTGCCAATCTGTTCGAACATGCTCGAAAAATGTTGCGACATCATTGTGACTGCTTGTTCTATTTCTCAACCAAGTTCAAACCTACGGTATTGCATTTTATAATCGCTCAGATTTTTATATCCATCTCTTTTCTTCTAACACTTCAACTGGTTAACATCACTTTTTATTTTTCTCTACGACTTGTAAAAATAAGTAATGAAAATTCGTCTCTTCGTTTAAAAAGAATAATAATTTATCTGAATATCCTGATGCGTACTCCAATATAAATTATTATTTATTTATAAATCAATACTTAACTTTTTTATTTATTATTTTAAACTAGAGATCCACCCCGGCTTCGCATGGGTGATTTATGGATCTCGACAACAGCTCCACCTACCAACTTTATCTCAGCAGATCCTGGGATCCACTCAAACACAGACAAAAAATTCCTTTTTTATATAGGATAGGGTGACAAACGAGCACATTGTCCACCAGGTGGTAAGTGGTTCCTGTGGCCCATAGACATCTACATCTATCGTCGCTTGCGAATCAAAATGCAAATGCGTTGCCAGCCGTGAGTACTACGATGCAATGCCTTTTTTTCAGTAAAAAAAGGTCTCCGATTCTTTACACTCACTATACGAAACACAGCAGTGTTAAGCCGCTATTTTACGCTGGTATTTTGTGCTACAACTATACTACCCATATAGCTGCAGCATGGCTCTACCACTTATGAACACATCCGAATCGGTTGAGCCAGTTTCGAATTTTAGCGAGACTAACGGACAGCAACTCATTTTTATAAACAGAGATTAATAGGTGCTTAACTATAGAACTTTAAAACATTTATTGATATAACGCCAAAAAACGTATTTAAATTTCAATTTTTGAATTTTATTATGTTTAGAATTGGAAAAAATATTTAATTGGTCATAACGTAGTATTGCATTAAAATAATTATTCCCGTTTTATGACTGCATACAGCATTAGACGCTTATTTCGTATTGTGGCATTAACAGAGTTACCTAAATAACGTCGTAGTTGTAACTTTGCCATCGTATAACAAGGTCGGCGTGTGAAACAATGGTGTCACAAACACCGATAATGTCACACGAATCCGGCGCGACTTTGCCTGAGGGAACTTGTCTTAACAAGGGAACAGGGTTGGTAGCTTTCTTAAATATGTAATTATATTTCACTATTTTTTTTTCCTTAACATACGTTTTTGTTTAGTCCTCTAGTCATAGTACTGTAAGAAAGACTGCTTATATCTGGGTATTTAATCTATCTAATCTATAATATCAATTTCTTGCAAGTACACAATTCCTTTAAATAACTTATATTTATATCTCTAGTCAAAATTTAACGGATAATGATGATAATGATGATGATGATATTCAAAACAATTTTTTTCAACTAGGACAATTAGATTAGAGATTTACAAGCACGCATTATAACTGTAACAAAAAATGGCGTCAAATTGTCTATCATTTTAGTAACGCTATTTAGGTTTGTGTCAAAAAAACATTTCAATTTTTCTCAATATGACTAGATGTTCATTTTAATAATATTTTCTGTTACTTTTTGAGATATGCCCGCCGCAATTACCCCATAGCCGCACTTGACCCTAAATGATTTGTGAGTGAAATGTAGGTTCTTATTTTTAAAATGAGGATAAGCGAACCTTTGCTAAACAATCTACGAAATGCAAACCTTAAAGGTTGGTCAAATATACGAAAATATTTAAGTAACGTAATAAAATACATTCGAACTCATTTTGAAAAGAGACTAAAATGTTCTACATTTGTACAGGCAGAGGATAATTTTACGTCAGGGTATTTTCATATAATTAATCAACTAAGAATATTATTCTAAGCATTTACATACGTTTAATTAAGTTCTAAGTAAGATAAATCTTGACTGCATATACACAACTGACAGACAATAACAGATGGATACTGCGCTTTAGCTGCAAGCCCTGTACGTGAAACGTAAATATACAAGTGAACGGAGCAATTCACGGGTCGCAGTTGAAGTGAATTTACACTGAGTAGCTCCTAATATGAATTATATATTTTTTGTTAAGTTAAACGAACTGGCATTAATAATTTTCAATTTTTATTTTTAAAGAAGAAATGTTACTATATGGTCGGGCGTGAAGGAAAACACAATAAATTTGAAAGCTTTAAAGTATTTCGAGAACAACATGTCCTGTTCTAGCCATGTACTCGAGCTTAAAGGCTCGTAGTTAAATTAAAAAAAAAATTACGTACATAAACACTCACGCCTGTCACCCAGAGGGGTAGGCAGAGACTATGGACTTCCATTTGACACGATCCTGACACACCTCTCTCGCTTCCTCCACATCCACATACCTAAGCATACACGCTCGTCGGTTAAAGGTACTCTTGATTTGGCCCATTTTCAATATATCGCCAATTTGGTCGATAAACTTTCGCCTAGGGCGTCCCTTCCCGACTCTGCCGTTCACCTCTGCAACATAAATTTGCTTTGTCACTCTTTCCTCACTCATTCTTTCACAACATCATCTTGCAAACCACACTCTTTTCTTATCACACAATTTCTCACTCTGTCATTCAGATTTATCCCTAACATACCCCTTAATGACCACATTTTTACAGCATTTATTCTACTCTCTTGTTTCTTCTACCACACCCAACTTTCACTACCATACATTAAAGTAGGGACTAACACAGCATTGTGAATTGCCATACGTGTCTTTTTGGACACATTCTGACTTCACACAATAGGGTGTAGAGCCCCATTCACTCTATTTCCTGCGTTCAGTCGTCGTTCTATATCCTTATCATATCTACCATCCCTTTTTTTTTATAGGAGAGGGGGCAAACGAGCATGCGGCTCACCTGATGGTAAGCAACTACCGCCGCCCATGAACAACCGCAACACCAGGGGAATTGCAGATGCGTTGCCGGCCTTTTAAAAAGGAGTAGGCTCTTTTCTTGAAGGTCCCTAAGTCGTATCGGTCCGGAAAAATCGCTGGTGGTAAACTATTCCACAAGGAAGTTGTGCGAGGAAGAAAACATCTTCTAAATCGCACAGTGGTGGACCGCCAATCATCCAGATGGTGTGGATGGTATCGGGAGTTCTGCCGCGATGTGCGTTCGTGAAATTTGGCGGCTGGGATTAATCCGAACAATTCCTCAGAGCACTCCCCATGGTAAATGCGAAAGAAAATACTAAGAGATGCAACATCTCTTCGCAGTGCCAATGAGTCGAGCCGATCGGAAAGGACTCGGTCGTCGACGATTCGAGCCGCTCTGCGCTGGATGCGGTCAAGTGGAAGGAGCTGGCACTGGGGAGCCCCAGCCCAGAGATGGGAACAGTATTCCATGTGAGGCCGAACCTGCGCCTTGTAAAGTTGCAGGCGTTGAGCCGGCATGAAATACTGTCCCGCTCTACTGAGCACGCCAGGCTTTTTAGAGGCCAATTTGGCCTTCTCTTCCAAGTGACCAAGAAACTGCACGTTACTCGATATGTCGACGCCGAAGATTCCGATACTGGCTGAGGCAACAAGGGGAGTACCTTGAAACTGAGGAGATACGACAAAGGGGTTCTTTTTAGCGGTAAACGCGCAAACTTGTGTCTTCTGAGAATTAAACTGGACTAGATTTAGTCGCCCCCAATCCGAGACTTTGTCCAGCAAAGACTCGACTTCAGACACAAGTTTGTTCCGGTACTCGGTGACGTTTTCCCAAGAAATATTGGCACGCCCGGTGTATAGATCATCACCAGTGCTGTCATCCGCATAGCAATGAATGCTACCGGCTTGCAACATATCATTGATATGCAGAAGAAACAGCGTTGGTGATAGCACGCAGCCTTGTGGAACACCAGCGTTAATAGGCTCTAAATACACATCCCAAATACACAAACTCATCTACTAGCTCGACCAAATCCCCTTCTATTCTTATTTCACATATCGTTTTACTTTCTTCTTTTTCAAAAACCATCACTTTCGTCTTACTTGCGTTCATTTTCATTCCCTTTCCTTTTAATGTCCTGTTCATTAATGTAACCATCATTTGCAACTCGGCCGCCGACGACGCAAGTATGGCTTGATCATCGGCGTAAAAAAGGCATTTGATGGTTAGCTCACCCATTCTTAACCCGCATTCTTCTATTTTAAAATTTCCAAACAACTGTCCATAAATAGGTTGACGTCACACATACTTCTGATTGGTCCAAAATTTTGATACATTTTCGAATTCAGCAATCGGAACAGTTGTAGTCCACTTCAATTTAATGTAAATTGCAACGAAATATTGTAGATTTGTAATTTTCCACTAAACGCTAGGTTAATGAAGCCTATCTATTTTTAACAGATATCAAAAAGGAGGAAGTACTTAGTTTGACTGTATTTTTTTGGGTGCTGCCTCATAACTTTTTTCTAGGTGAACCAATTTTAATGATTCTTTTTTTATTTTAAAATTCATCTTGAATGAAGTTAACTGCAGGTGGCCATGAACTGCAATAGCTACTAACAGGCAGATTGTAAAATAATTTGTGACTTCAGTTTTATAAAAAAAATGCACCTACCAGTCTTTAAACAGAGCAAGTATATACAAAACGGCCTCAGTATTGAAAAGTTCTCAACAGAATGTTTGTGACCTAGTGTCGTGTTTGATATAAATTTGATCAAGGTCGGACCATTAGTTTTTGAGTTATCCTTAATAAATTATATTGGAGTCGGTAGTACAATTTTTTTTATTTTACCACTTGATTTTGAGGGAATTATGCGCTCAAAAGTTCTATTATACAACAATATTATGAAACAAATCAGATGGGCCGTCTTCCTAATAACGACTAAAACAAAACTGCAGTTATCAACCCGATTCCCAAGTGTGGCAACTATGGCACGTGTCTCCGCTATGAGGCAATCTATGGCGAAGGCCTATGTACAGCAGTGGTCTTTCATAGACTGTAACGGTATCGGTGTAGTGCGCAAATTTTTATGCCATCTGGGATGAAAAGTCAAATTCCGGGGCGTGGATACCCTGGCCACTAGGTACCGATATCGATA